AGAACTTAAGATTGAAGAAGAATCGGAAACTGGAAGCAAAGTTCAGTCAATGATACGAGTTCCTTTGCAGGTAAATTGATTTACCAATAGAAACCCGTCTTCTTTCAGCTCCGAGGCGCATGTCCAAACACAATGAATTGTACAATTGTTGGGATTTCACTTCAGATTTTGAGTCCAAAAACCCATGAAATATATATTACACGATCTAATTGCATTGTTTTCTTTTTTGTGTATTTGACTATCAAACTAAATAGTCAAATATATTTTCACGGGTTAAATGCCTCCACTCTAAGCAAACTCGCAAGCGTTATGGATTTTAATCTTTTTATGACAGTCGAACCCAGGCCCTTAACTCGTTTTTTATGCGGCGCGCAATGCATCACTGGGATTGGTTTCGAGTCTACTGTTTTGTCTTTCAGGTGTCATCATTTGTAACTTCACTTCTCTTTAGTGTTTGTCAAGAATTGAATCGAATTGGTGGCCATGCTCTTGATAAGTAAGAAAAAAACACTAAGATAAACCTTTAAAATGAAGCCATGAAACCCGCAAATACGAACTTTCGAAGAAACGAACGCCGGAAATTCCGCTGAAATTCCCATTATAGGTTGATATACTTCTTTGTAAAAACTATAATTTTTTTTAACTATAAAAGATGTCAACCTCCACATTTGATCTGATTAACACCAAACGTTGTGAGTTTGTTATTTACAGTGCGATCTTTCTGTCCATACAAGTCTTATTTCACAACGGACTTGTACCCAGTCACCCGCGATATGAAATTAGGCAATGGGTACCTGAAATTAGTTCTTTTGATTTTCACATATAAGGGGTCGGCTTTACGAAGGTTCAATGGCGCAATCATGCACCAGAAAAGAAAGACAGCACTATTCTATTTCGAAACATTTTTATAGGTTTAGTTTTTGCACTCTATTTCAAACTTTTGGTGCTGTTACTCTACTAGATTAAGATTTTGTCTATTTTTTCTTTTCTTCAGGAAATTACTACAAGAACTTATCGATGAATTATCCAATGGCGTACTAATTCTTTATGAACGACTCGGAGAAGAGCACGAATCGAGCTTATCCCAAAACCGTGCACTTCAGTATCTATTTGACTTCAAATTCGTCATGTCGATATTTGCTGGAAGATCAGAGGAGTCATT